CAAGCTATATTACAAAGCAGTGATCACCAAGACAACATGGTACTGGCACAAAAACAGACGTATAGACCAATGGAACAGAATAGAGAGCCTAGATATGGACCCTCAACTCTATGGTCAAATAATCTTCAACAAAGCAGGAAAAAATATGTAATGGAAAAAAGACAGTCTCTTCAATAATTGGTGCTGGGAAAATTGGACAGCTATATACAGAAGAATGAAACTCGACCATTCTCTAACACCATAGACAAAGAAAAACTCTAAATGGATGAAAGACCTCAATGTGAGACAGGAATCCATCAAAATCCTAGAGGAGAACATTGGCAGTAACCTCTTCAACATTGGCCACAGCAACTTCTTTCAAGATACATCTCCAAAGGCTAGTGAAACAAAAGCAAAAATGAACTTTTGGGACTTCATCAAGATAAAAAGCTTCTGCACAGCAAAGGAAATAGTCAACAAAACAAAGAGGCAACCCACAGAATGGGAGAAGATGTTTGCAAATGACACTACAGACAAAGGGTTGATTTCCAAGATCTATAAAGAACTTCTCAAACTCAACACCCCAAAAAATATATAATCAAGTCAAAAAATGGGCAGAAGACATGAACAGACACTTCTCCAAAGAAGACATACAAATGGCTAACAGACACATGAAAAAATGTTCATCATCATTAGCCATCAGGGAAATTCAAATCAAAACTACATTGAGATACCACCTTACACCAGTTAGAATGACAAAAATTGACAAGGCAAGAAACAACAAATGTTGGAGAGGTTGTGGAGAAAGGGGAACCCTCTTACACTGTTGGTGGGAATGCAAGTGGGTACAGCCACTTTGGAAAACAGTGTGGAGGTGCCTCAAAATGTTAAAAATAGAGCTACCCTATGACCCAGCAATTGTACTACTGGATATTTACCCCAAAGACACAGATGTAGTGAAAATAAAGGCCATATGCACCCCAATGTTCATAGCAGCAATGTCTGCAATAGCCAAACTGTGGAAAGAGCCGAGATGCCCTTCAACAGATGAATGGATAAAGAAGATGTGGTCCATACATACAATGGAATATTACTCAGCCGTCAGAAAGGATGAATACCCAACTTTTACATCAACATGGATGGGACTGGAGGAGATTATGCTAAGTGAAATAAGTCAAGCAGAGAAAGTCAATTATCATATGGTTTCACTTATTTGTGGAACATAAGGAATAGTATGGAGGACATTAGGAGAAGGAAGGGAAAAATGAAAGGGAGGAAATCGGAGGTGAGATGAACCATGAGAGACTATGTACTCCGAGAAACAAGCTGAGGGTTTTAGAGGGGAGGGGGGTGGGGGGATGGGTTATCCCGGTGATGAGTATTAAGGAGGGCACGTACTGCATGGAGCACTGGGTGTTATATGAAAACAATGAATCATGGATCACTGCATCAAAAACTAATGATGTATTGTATGGTGACTAACACAACATAATAAAAGAAAGAAAGAAAGAAAATGTGACTGACTTAAGAGCCTAATCTAAAACTCACTCTCACATCATCCTGAAGTTGTCTTCCTTAGAGTTGTGTTATTAGATGACACTGAGATCAAACTATGTGATACGTTATAAAATAAACATCCTTAGATAAAATCTAAAAATGGCCCTGAAGTATATGAACTTCCATGCAGTTGTAGCCTAGTATGTGGAGGTTAAGAGCATGGTCTTTGAAGTGCAATCCTGCCACTTACTTGCTGTGTGACCATTAAATTCTCTGTGCCTTGGTTTCTTCATCTGTAACCTTCATAGGGTTTGGCAACAGCTGAATGAATTAAATATATAAAGTGCTAGAGCAACCATGCCTTGCAAATTTTAAGTGCTTCCCAAGTGTTTGTTATTACTGTTATTTGTGCTGATGGTTTAGGATGGGATTTGGTGACTTGGTCCTGAGGAATCTCATTTAGAGTTCTGAATAATAGGGTATCCCCACAGGAATCCATAGCAAATAGAGATCAAAACACCTGATTTGTTACTGGTAACCCTGGATTGCAAAGCACTTGAACTTGAACTTGAGACCAAAGTGGGGTTTCCCCACTAATTTAAATATATAAATCTAGTCAGAGATATAATAGCTGGGAACCCTGAGGCCTCATCTACATTTTTATAGGGACATAAAGAAGAATCTCTTTCACATGATGGTAGATAGGTATATATTTATGTATATACAGATATATAGATATATCTATCTTCTCTAATAGTATCATAATTGAGTTAAATTGTAGGCTACTCAGGTGATACCACAGGGAATTGCTTGGTGGAAAAAAATTCTCCAGGAGGACAAAGTGTTTCCTTACACACTTCTTTTCCTTTAACAACAGACAAGAAAATGTTCTAAATATTTCTCATAGGAAAATGAGAAGTATATCTGTAAAATGAAAATTTTTCAATTCTTTTTGGATTTCAGACAAGAATTTCTTTTATGGACAATCTCATTTTTAATTTTTTTTTATTTTTTAAAGATTTTATTTATTTATTGACAGAGAGAGAGATAGCGAGATCAGGAACAAAAGCAGGGGTGTGGGAGAGGGAGAAGCAGGCTCCCGGCCAAGCAAGGAGCCTGATATGGGACTCGATCCCAGGACCCTTGGAGCATGACCTGAGCCGAAGGCAGACGCTTAACCAACTGAGCCACCCAGGTGCCCCTCACTTTTTTAAAAATGTTTCAAGTTTTTATTTAAATTCTAGTTAGTTAACCTATAGTGTAATATTAATTTCAGGAGTAGAACTTAGTGATTCATCACTTACATATAACACCCAGTGTTCATCCCAACAAGTGCCCTTAACACTTATTACCCATTTGTTTTATTTATTTTTTTAGAAGAGAAAAGTTATTTTATTTTTTATTATGTTATTTTAGTCACCATACAGTACATCATTAGTTTTTGATGTAGTGTTCCATGATTCATTGTTTGTGCATAATACCCAGTGCTCCATGCAATAAGTACCCATTTGTTTTAAAAGAATTCTTTGTTGCTGGAGTACTGGAATATGGTGTACTCCAATATTTTTAGTACCAAGGTTTCCAAGTGGGGCAAAATTACTCTTCACAAAGCATGGAGTGAGGACCTAGACTGAGGTAGGTATGGAGACCGGCAAAAAAAGCAGGACAATAGGCAGAGAATTCTATTTGCTTTCAGGAAAATTAGTGGTTTTTTGCTTTTTTGTTGGAAATGACTGCAGAGGTTAGGTTTAAAACCAAAATCGGTACAAAGGAAAAGAGAACGCATGAATAAATGCAGAGGCGAAAGTCAAATGATGGTCAAGATGAAGTAAGCCCTTAAGAATATTTAGAATCTATGAGTGGGAATTTAAACCATTTAGGATATAGACTTATATTATATAGTTAAGCTCATTAACTTCTAAGGGAGAAAATTTTCTGTTCTGGTAATAGCCTAGTAACTCTTATCAAACCACACTTCCTGCAAGGAATATCTATAAACTCCAGGAACATATAAACAACCAGCTACATAAAGACACTAAAGGGTGAACAAAAAAAGGCACAGGAAGGGGATCAATACTTGGCAGAAGTAAAAGGCACTGGGTGACATTCCCAGCTACATTTTAAAATAATTTTAGCGGGCGCCTGGGTGGCTCAGTTGGTTAAGCGACTGCCTTCAGCTCAGGTCATGGTCCTGGAGTCCCGGGATCGAGTCCCACATTGGGCTCCCTGCTCGGCGGGGAGTCTGCTTCTCCTTCTGACCCTCTCATGCTCTCTCTGTCTCATTCTCTCTCAAATAAATAAATAAAATCTTTAAAAAATAAAATAAAATAAAATAATTTTAGCCTGGGTGCAGGTCCTTATCAGGCCATGCAGGGCTGCTAAAATCCAGAAAGAAGCCCACAGCCTATCGGGCATGAGAAAGCAAAGGACAAGTTCAGGTTGAACTGAACAACTGGAAAATGAAAGGGAAGGATTTTGGAGAACAGAGAGTTATAGAAAGGGAACTGCACATCTTGACTCTACTCAAGTGTCTAGCTAACCTCTGAATGATGGATGTGCTGGATAGATTCTAAGCAGCTCAGTTAAGGCTAAAATAACTGGAATGAGATTGCAGAGTTTGGAGTTTGAGTTCAGCCATGAAACAAAATATTTGTACTCTTCAATGGAACATAAGAGAATCCAGAGACTCTACAATATATTATTCAAAATGTCCAGAATACAATCCAAATTCATTAGATATGAAAAAGCAGGAAATTGTAGCCCATACTTAAGATAAAAGGCAATCAATGGAGATCAAGTTTGATATGGCCCAAGTTTGGAACTAGCAGACAGATTTTAAGCATCAATTAAAACTATGGTCAAAGGTATAGAAGAAAATATAAGGAATAAGGCAATGGCGTCTGGCACACATGTTTGTGTTTACACACTCTATTCTTCATAGAAAATAGCAGTACTTATAAAAGCAGTGATGACAGAAAGTAGCTCAATTATGCACACTAAGGAGCATTGAATTCAAATTTAGTTTGTAGGACATTCATTCATAATAAACAACCATTTAAAATGTACCTTGCTGGGTGCTAGAAGGGCAATGAAAAATTAGATGTTGTTCTTCTATTCACAGACCTTAGAGTTGACTTGAACCTAAACAACAATATTATAAGGCCAAAAAATAATGCATTTCATTAAAACAGTACTTAAAAGCAGTCTGGGGCACCTGGGTGGCTCAGTCGTTAAGCGTCTGCCTTCGGCTAAGGTCATGATCCCAGGGTCCTGGGATCGAGTCCCACATTGGGCTCCCTGCTCGGCAGGAAGCCTGCTTCTCGCTCTCCCACTCCTCCTGCTTGTGTTCCTGCTCTCGCTATCTCTCTGTCAAATACATAAATAAAATCTTTAAAAAAAAAAAAAGAAAAAAAAAAGCAGTCTGAGGTCTCCGCTATTAGTGGAGGAGAAGATCTAAAGGAAGGCTTTAAGGAGTGACAGATGACATGGACCTTAAAAGACCTTAAAATTTTTATTTGTGGGCATGATGGGACAGGGGTGAGCATCCAGCTGTACACAGTGAAGAAAGGTCTGCATATAATGAGATGAAGTAGCCGCCTTTGGCTTCAGGGTTTAGTTTGTGACAATGTTGGTGGGATCTAACATGATAATGTAGGTGGGCTCAGATTGCAAAATGCTGGGACAGATAGTTAGACATGATTCTAAAAACAATAAGGAACCAATTAAAAAGAAAAGATACAAAAGCCCAACATCATTCCCTTCAAAAATTACAAACCCAAAAAGGATTTCCATTATTTATTATGATTCTCACAATCACCTGTTAAAAAAGTAAATGGAATAGCTCATATAATTTTAGTGTAGGTCTCTTTAGTCTGTTGAGGATTAAGTTACCAGATGATAGATTTGAGCAAGAAAAGGATTAAGAAATGTGCTATGAAATTACTTAACATTTTGGTTACAAGATATATATGAGAGTTTATGGTTTCATAAAATATTTCACTGTACTACTTTAAAGAGTCCACTATTCCTTTGGGTAGGGGTGAGGCAAATTGAATTCCATCTTTACGAATTAAAACTCATGCATAAAATACAAATTATGATTAAATTATATGTTTCTAAGTTTGCAGAAATAAGCAAATACTTCTTTCCTAAGGCCCTTTTGTGGCCTTTTCTGATGAGGAAATTCAGGAGATTCTGTTGTCAGCTTATTATCAGGCAGTTATGAAATCACATTGAAAATTTTAAAATATTGACAATAAAGGCAAGGCATGAAAAAATACCTTGAAGCCTAATAATAAATAAGAAAATAAATCCTTTGTGAGTAATGTGTTTTTATAATATCTCAGTAGCTTCAAGTACTGAAACATTAACTGGGTGAATTTTAGGTTTTTGTATTGTCAGAATATAATAACACCAGATTATCTCAGAACAGGAAGGACAATAGAATTTTATTTCTTTGTACTCATAATGCTTATTGTATCCTTCACGTTACAGCTAATGACTTTAAGAAAAAGAGCATAGCTACATGGCCTTGGACATATTTTGTTGCTTACAAGCAAATTATGCGATATTTATTTGACTTTAAAAAGCTAATGTAGCATCCGTTTATTTTTTTCCTATATTTGTTTTGTGGCGTGGAGTGGTGGCATCTGGTTAATCTATATTAATATGCACATAAGTATTCCCTATATTCTACAATTTCATAAAGTGCATTTGTTTAGAAAACTTCCTTCAATGGCCTTATGTAATATTCTGTGAAAACAAAGCTCATACCAGATATAAGTCACTGTCTTTGAGATAAAGTCGTCCAAAAGCATTTACCTTTGTTTTGTTTTGTTTTGTTTTGCTTTGGGTTTTCTGATAAGCACTTTGTGTTCTATAACTCTGAGATTTTTGCAATTCTCCATGGTCTCTCTTCTAGCAATCATTTACACCTAAATTCCATGAGAGACAAGCTCAAATTTCTCTCTCCTTTGTTGAACCATCTCCTTAGGTTCCATTTAATATGATTAATTGCTCTAAAAACCATACAAAAAATAGGACTTATAGTTAAAACTTGACCCCAATTCATGATCAATATAAAGAAATGTCATATAGGCATCATTGAACTCAACAAGTTGCTTTCTTCCTTGTTGCTACTGTTTACTTTAAATTTTGTTCAAGAGCACAATTTCTAACAACAGTCCTTAATAGTGTATGCCTAATCTGTTACTTAGTTTTCACATTAATTTATAAGCTCAAACAAATAAGAATAACATAGAGAATGTTGCCAACACAATTTTTTTTTTTTTTATAATCTGACCAGTGATTAAATACAGACTATTTGATGCTTTATCTATCTGCTATTCCTTTTACACTGATTGAGAAAGTCTTGTAACACCCACGGTTTTGGACTTCCATGATCAAACATTAGACAATGCCAGTCTAACTCCTTGAAGTTCTTAGGTGAAGAAACCAATAAATACTTCCCATTTTCTTCTTTTCACATACTCCAGATGCAGCGTGTTTTTAAAACAGTGTCAGGTCTATCCCTCTCTGATTTACATCTGTGAGTTGAATCAAACTGTAATTGGCCTACAGCTGCACATATAAAATAATCTGTTACACAAGCATCTCACTTTTCCCTGCATGGAAACATCAGTCCAGGACCTCATCTTCTAATGGATGTAAGGGATTTGAATTGGTGCCTCAGTTTACTCATCAACATCTCCCGGAAGTGATCTCCCAAAAGGAAATAGAAGACAGGGTTGATGGTACTGTTCAGAAAGGCCAAAGGCCTAGTCAAAATGTAGAAGAAGTTGATGGCTGCCTGAGTGCATTGGTATTCCTTCCACTTCTCCAGGCGTGAAGCGATCCTCACGTTCCGCATGATGTGGTAGGGAGTAAAAAGCACAGAGAAGATCACAACGGCCATGATGACTAAGGTGAGAGGCTTTTCAAGGGGCAAAGCAGTACCAAGCTGCCTGCTCCTCTGCTTTAGGAAAAGAGCAATCTTGAAATAAAAGAAGCACATCACCAAAAGGGGAATGAGGAATCCCAAGAAGGTTAGGCATATGCTATAAATGAGGCTGCTTTGGGCGTTCCCAGAACTTGCATAATCAATACAGTTGGTGCCATTGACAGCTAAATTAGGATTTATAAGAGAAAGTATGGGCAGTAGCTCTAAGGTTACTAAAACCCAAATAGCCAAAGAGATTAAAACAGCGAACTCCTTCTTTTGTAGAAAGTGTTCCCGGAAAGGATACTTCATGAGCAGGTATCGATCAATGCTGATAAAAGTGAGAAAAAGAATGCTGGTGTAGAGATTGGCATGAAGCACATATCGGTTGCTTATACAGAGCATGTCCCCATATATCCACTTTCCATGAGAATAACTTCTAATCAGCATGGGAAGTGTGCACAAAAAAGCCAAGTCTGAGATAGAGAGGTTAAAGAGATAAACGTTACTGCTATTCCAGTTCTTCAGACAGAAGAGGTAGCCAAAAAGAACAGTGCTATTCCCAAGGACTCCCACAACAAACTCGATCCCATAAAAAATGGAAAGGTAGTACTTTTCCAGGGCAGCCTCTGCTGCCAGCCAATTTGGGCAAGTTGTGTTCCACGCCTACAGAAGAAAAAGAGAAGGTTAAAACACTAGACTATGACTAAAGACAAAACTGCACAGAACATAATAATAATAATTTAAAAAAAACTCTTGTTTTTTTAAACTCTTAAAGCTTGAACTATAAAAAGTTGATTATATTAGGAAGGAGTGCATATACATACACATTCATATACAGGTATGTCACTAATATATTACTTTAACAAATATTTATTGAATACCTTTGAACTATATGCTATGCACTGGGGATAACAGCACCAAGTCAAAGTTCCCAATCTCAAACAATTTATACTTTCTTGGCTAGAACCAGGAAACAAATAAATGCATGTCACGTAATGGTAAAAAAGGTCTCAAACATAAAGGAAAGCACGTGCAAAGGCCCGGAGGTGGAAACACACTTAGAGGACTTGACAAATAGCAAAGAGGCCAAGAAATGGTGCAATGAAATAAGTGGAGCATCTAATTCTTTCTTCTGTCTCCAGGTATTCAACCAAGTCTGCTGAGTTAGATTTAATTGAACACAACCTGGGAGAGGACACAGGGATTCTTATCACTCCAGTCTTGCTATTTTAATAGATTCTATTTTATTTCCATATTGTCAAAGAATTATGGTTATTTTACTAAATTTGAATATAATTCCAGTTTTAAAACATGATTTTTTAAAATTTAAAATATGAGCCTTAAAATCTTAGTAATGATAATGAGAGTGGCCACAATTTGCTGAAAGCTTATAGTATATCTAAGCAACATCCTTGAAGTCAGCTGTAGTTTATCTCCAATAACAAATAAGCTACCAAGTCTTGTTTGCCTGTGGTGTCTGGCTATTTCTCAAGTCCGTCCCCTTCATGACCATTCTAGTCCAGGCCACCATGATCTTTATCTTAGACTGTATTTTATCTTCTATGGTCTCCTCACATCTTCTCAAGCTCCCTTTCAATCTCCCTTCAACCTGAAAGCCAGACAATCTTGAAAACTACAACCAAAATCCGGATCATATTAACTCTCCTCACCCAAAACACTTAAATGACCTTCCACTGTCTAGGTAATGAAGTCCGAATCCTTAATGAGTACTTAAGGCATGCAGGATTTGGCTCCTGTAGGCCACTTCAGCCTCACCTAGCATGACTCTCCTCCTTGCTCTTCTTCCTATTCGTTGAATGCACAGAGAACTTTCCCAATGCTCAGTTCACTGAATCCTTTCTCACTGACTTTTTCCCCCTGTGACCCTTACCCCATCACGTACACTGCCCTTATGTCTGCACTCCTTTCAGACTTCAGTTTAAGTGTGGGTTTCCCAAGACAGACTCTCTGACCCACCATTTTATGTATATTTTATGTTCTCCTTGTAAACTAAGTTTCTTTGAATTTCTTGCAACTTTATCTTATTCATGTTTATCTTCTACATCTGGCATAGTGACTGCCAGATAGGAGATGGTCTGTAAACACTTGTTGCATGGAGATGGAGATAAACATTTGACTGTTTGGAAAACAGTCTTATAAATATTTCCTCTAAGGTCAGATAAACCCATTGCTCTATCTCACTGTAAATCTGACACTGTACATAATATGACTAAGATTCAAAATGGGCAATTGTAGTAGTTAGGTATCTTTGTTTAGACACACATTTGTCAAAGGTAAAATTACATACATATCTTCAGGATCAATTTTTTTAATTAAGATTAATTTAAAAATTAGGAATTTATATCTGAAATTAATAAATATCAGAAAGTCTAGGATATGTATCAAGGTATGAGTTTTATCACTAGGGATGAGACACCAGATAATATTTAATGTGTCCTTTTTCCTTTCAGTTTATTTGGATTTTCTATTTGTTTCCCCAAATCACCATGTGTTGGGTATATTGAGATTTCTAGAAATATAGCAAAAAGTTTAATGGTCTTTTTTTTTAAATAGGCTTTTTTTATAGATCAATGGTAATTTTTCACTATTATCTTTATCTCTCTCCCCCACTGCTTTCAGTTCTAAGACTTCTGGAAGCACTCTCTTCCTTGCCTTCTATGATATGGCAATCTCCTTACAGTCCTCCTTTCTCTCTTTGTAGGCTATTTGCCCAAGCTTTAAATGCTGGAGCTCCTCAGAGCTCAGATCATTATTTTGGGATTGCTCAAAACGCAAGTGCACAAACTCAGTGGAATAGTAAGACAATAGAAAGCTTCCTTAAGACTCATTTCTTTCATTTTGAATTTCCTCTTTTTCTAGTCCTCACTCTTATTTTTCTGATGATGCAGTTCTTAAGTGCTCTGACTTATGTCAGTAGCTTCTGTGCAGCAGGAAGATTTGACTGCCATGGCAGGAAAAGAGAGCCATGAAGACATGTGTAACTCCATCTGCCAGGTTCCCAATAACTACCACTCAGGCAAGTCAGGGGCCATGCTGAAGCCATGCAGAAGTCTTCTGCTTTGAGCTGTCCACTGGGACTAGAGATTCAGGGAGGTAATAGGGGTAGAGAATACCAGAACTGGGATAAGGAAAATGAATGGCTAGTCGCCTTTGTCCTGCTTCTCAGGTTGCTTTAACCTTTTTTTTTTAAAAAAAATGTATGTTATTCTGTAACACTCACTAAGAAGATACAAGTAGGCAAAAAGAAGAAATGAAAGTTGTCTGTAAACCAACTACTCTTAATACTTGGATATACTCTTATAGTTTAATATTTATTTGAATTTATTTTTTACAAATAATGAGATCATGCTCTTTATGATATTTTATAATCTGCTTTTTGATAAGTTTATTTTATTCTTAAAATAATCGTCTTAAGTCCTTAATATTAATAAACTGTGGTTTATAAATGTCAGGCCGTCATATTTGCCGGCCAATTTCAACCTCACCAAGACCCATAATTTTCTGGGTATTAGAGTCCAAATTAGATGATGTTTGCAGTTGAGTGTGGTTTTTAGTGTGGCCGTTACAATTCTACAAATTGATGAGATAAGCTGATCCTTTAAGGGAATTCCTCAATTGAAAGGAAATTCCTCATGAAAAATTAATACTCTCTCTTCCATTTTCTAGTGGTTGTATTTTTAATTTCTAGGAAACAGAAATCATGATAAATAGGTTATAGCAGTGTTGGATGAGTTATTTTTAACTGTTTTTTTAGCTATCATAATTAAAGTGAAATATTTAATTATATATCCAAACATATATCTAAACCAGTTGAATTATTAAATTACAAGCAATATTCAATTTACTCACATAAGCAGATCAGTAGTATGCATTTTTAATTTGGAATAATGTTTCTTTCACTGTTGTTCTATTCAGCCCTTTAAAAATGTATAGTTTTGAAGCTTAAATTTATAAATACGTTTGATAGCTTATTAGCTTTTAAATTGTTTTTTCTTATAATTATCACAATTAAACAAAGATCGTTTGTGCATTTTAATCCTTGACTGATTCTTTAAGGCAAATTTACATGGCAATATGAGTATTTTTTTTAGCTAATTGCTATTTTCATTAATAAACAATTTGAATGAACAAATATTCATACAGAAAAGTACAATCATTTAATATTGATAACTTCATTTTTAATATATTTCCTGAATTTACATTATAAGTCAAGGTATTAAAAAGTGATAGTAAGGTATCAAATTATATGTTTATGAATTAAAAAAATAATTCACCAATTATAAAAAGTTCTGGAAGGTATTAGCAATGTTTTTGCAATTTCTCATTTTTCCTTAGTGAAATATACTCTTGAACAATTGTGATTTTTACAAACATAAATGCTAAATTTAATTTTTAGAATGCCTTGAGATTCCCTCTCACATATTTTTTTCTAAACATTTAAATTTTTTTCTGTAAGTAGTTACATTTAAATAAACCTGATTACTCTTTTTGTTGAAATATGTTACCAATATGTTGTCACATTTAGCAAATGTGATAAACCTCCTTAAGTAAAATAAATTTAGTATTTGGCAATTACAAAAGACATTACATTTAATAAAAAATAAACGTAGGAGAAAAAATTATGACTTCCCTTCAGTTTCTTTTGTTGTTCTACATGTTATGAATGACAGTTTAGACAGTTCATTTGCCCATTACTTAAAACCTTAACTGCTCATAGGCCACTTTTAAAAGAAACCCCTAATGGGAAGCCCGGCATTACTTTGTATACCTGAGTGACATGAGTTGCATTATAACTTACCATTCCGTTGGAAGGCCCTGATCCCTTGACAGAAATTATTTGCCAGCAACTTGATACAGCTTCTAACCCAATGCTGTGCCCCTGGATGTAGTGAAGTCTAATTTGCATATCATGCAGAGAGGATTAATAATTTATTCAGTCAAACTTCCAAGTACAGTTCAAGGGGAACTTCCCGTGAAGTCAAGACACAAACAAATTACACATTTCACAAATAGAGTTTGTAAAGACTACTGTTGAAATCATTCACTGTCAAAACAACAGAGAAGCATTCATTATTTTCATGTTGATTTGCATATTTAAAGTTAGCATAGTTTATATTGGAAATACAATTGCTTCTGCTTTTTTCTGCTTTTGCCTTATTTTTCAAATTTGACAATTGTAGTGAATTCTACATTGGGCATATAACTAAGCAGCTGTTATCAACAATTTTGAGGGAGCTGTAAAACAAATTCTGAAAGCAAATCTGGGTCTATGCTCTGTCCGTGTTCCAGCAAAAGGGACACTAGAGCTTCAGGTAGTTCCCATTTTATTTTCTGTGATTAAAATCAAGAGACACATAAAAAAGACACATCACATGGCTAGGAATTAGGGAGAGAGGTGGTGTCTAAGCAAGATAACCTCAGTACATGGCAATTCATTCCATCCCAATCAATGCCTGGCAGAGCACCTGAGAGCACATCACCACGATTTCAGACAGGAAGCACACCTGGCTTTTTCTGAGGATTGTATCAGATTCATATTCAAGTAAACACTCGGTCAGCTTGATTTGAAACATTGGGTTTATGCTGAGAAAGTCCTTTGTTGTGCAGGCAGTAGTCATTTCATTTGAATGCCGTAAAGTTGAATGTTTAGTTAGCAGTGACAGGCAGAAGCTCCAAGAGAAACTCTGTATTACAGCCCGTTCTTCTAGCCAAACATTTCCCCTTCTCCAATATATGAGAGTCCAAAACTTAGAAACTTGAAAAAATATATTTTATATATATGCACATATGTATTCCATACTTAAGAGTATACACATGCATGAAATATAAATGTATTTATATGTGAAATGCATGTGTATTTATGTCAAACAATGTCTCGTCAATTGCTGGGTTCTTATGATATTCTAGGTATTGCACTAAGCACCTTTGTGTACTGAATGCTTACAAAAACTCTCCAAGGTTGCTATTTTTTAAAATTTTCCATTTTATGGACGAAAACACAGAGGCTCAGAGAGGTTAATTACAGATCACAGAATCTGTAAGAAGAGAGACCTGAGTCTAAACCTATCTATTATATATTTTGATTCTAAAACCACCTGCTCTGATTCTTGATTGCTTACAAAAATGAATGACAATATCTTTAATGTATACCACAGATTGAATCAAAGTTCGAGAATTAATGAAAACCATTTTTCAGAAATGCAGCTATTTTCTACCTTTAAAAGGAAAAAAAGACTAAAAACATCATTTTTGTCTGTAATTTTGAAAGGGCAAAAAGCAAAGAATTTGGATGACCAGTGCCAGGCTTATTAATTTAAACATAAGTTAATATGGCTTGCCTCCAGACAACCAAGGCATATGAATGTATTTCATAAGTTCCTGCACCATTCTGATGAAAGCCAAGGGCTATTCCCTTTGTGGGGTGGTATAAGTTCCCCAGAACTTCCTCTTTCATCTCTCCACATCCTGACTCTGGACTTCTAAGATGAAAAGTGGTCTCTACTTCTCCTTTCTCATAATACAAGTGATCCGACTTGTGGCCTGGTCGCCTTACTTCCCTCCTATGTCTTATTTTTTTAATTTTACTTATTTATTTATTTGAGAGAGAATGAGATAGAGAGAGAGAGAGCATGAGAGGGGGGAGGGTCAGAGGGAGAAGCAGACTCCCTGCTGAGCAAGGAGCCCGATGCGGGACTCGATCCAGGGACTCCAGGATCATGACCTGAGCCGAAGGCAGTCGCTTAACCAACTGAGCCACCCAGGCGCCCACTTCCCTCCCATGTCTTACTTCACTGCAGATCCCATTGCCTCAGGATGCTTTTAATGGAGAAGCTAGAGTGACTCTGGGATGGACCTAATAAAAGGTCTCTAGTACTTCTATTCTATTCATATTATGAGTCTTTATGCAGGTCTACAGGAGGTAACTGAAGAGAGTTAAGGCCAGAGTCAGGGTTATAGGCTCTGTGAGCAGGGCTCCTGTAATGAATGCGCTACCTTTTAGCCACACAGGACCTGACACTGTAAAGGACCACACACTTGATTTAATGCTCTACTGTCACATTCCAACTGAAATTTTTCATAACCTTTTAACAAGGGGCCCTGTATTTTCATTTTGCACTGGGCTCTGCAAATTATGGAGCAGTCTTGCCTGTGAGAGTACACATCTAGAAAATCATTTCTAGTCAGCATATAAAATTTCAACAGGGCAAAGTTTTTGGTTTTGGGGTTTTGTTTTGTTCGAAATAAGGTGACATGTTGAAACTTACTGCTTGAGGAACAATGAAAATTTTGAAGGCAGTCAAGTTTGCGGTATAATTCACTATCTAAGACGTAATACCACATACTGGTTAAGAGCAGATGCCCTGGAGGCAAACGACCCCCTTTCCAATCTTAGCTTCATGGCTTACTGCTGCTCAGTTTTCTTGTCTGTGAAGGAGGGATAATAAAAGTGCCAGTCTTATGGAGTTGTTATGTATATAGTAGAAGCACACAGTCTATACATCTAATATATAGTATGGGTATATATTAATTGCTGCATAAATGCTGACTGTTCTAGAAGTTTATAACAAATGAGAAGGAGACCTCTTCAAAATGATCATGTCAATCCAATGTCATCAATGTTAGAATATTTGCTGCCCAGGAATGTCCATTTAAAATGACCCTATAAAAGCCAGCACGGTTTAAAAAAAAAAAAAAGAATTCTAATCTGGCCTTGCCTTTTACTCTCTGTGTGGTCTTTGAAAAGGCAACATAATTCGGTTTCCTCATTTGGAAAAGGGGAATAATAATTCTTACCCCATAAACCTCATAATGTCCGTTGTACAAATGAGATATTATGTGAAAACGCTATGGGCTAGGAATGCAAGAGGAGTTCAGGTAAACCAGGAGCACTCATCAGGAAATTCAAGAGGAAAAATAAAGGGTGGGAAGGACAATCAAAATATTAACTAAATCCAATGTTAGTAATCAGTCTAACATTTTCTGAGCAGTCACTCTGTAACAACACTGTGTGTGCATTAGTTCCTTTAGTATTTACTAGGATTCAATGCAGTGTAGACTGTTAATACCCCTAATTTTCAGATGAAAAAACTGAGGAGGAACAAAGTTTAAATAATCATCCACAATCACGTAGCTCATAAGCATCTGGGTTATAATTTGAAGTCTTATTTGTTTGATTCCTGACCAAGTCTCTGATTTTATTTTGTCCCTGTCATGGTAAAGAAGGAAATACGAGGTCAAAACATAAAATGACTATTGTTGGACATTTTTGACTCTAAATATGGCACTTTAATGTGTCTTGGCCTAATAAAAGTAAGTTTAAAACTAACACTAAGTTTAATTATTGGTTATTATATTTACTGGTTATCAAATTTAATTATCTGCCATCTAAATAGAATAGAACATTTTAGATAAGAAACCAGAAATGTTGAAAATGAGTAAGCAAAGTGTTTACAGGAAGGTTCTACTAGTGACATCTTTGAGCATGTTTGGAAGATACACTTCTTTCAACAGCATAAACAAGTCTGTGTGGAAAACAACCTGGTCTAAGGGTCACAGGGATCTTCAAGGAATCACAAGCAGGGAAATAAAAAGACAATTAATTCAATTCAAGGAACTTCTAATCCTGTAGGGGTGGTAAAAATATTATTACCTTACTATTAATATTGCAGCTCCAAAGAGGTTGAAAGGAATCAAGAAAATTATTGAGGAAGATATTCTGGTGTTGCTATATTGGATGGGCATACCCAGGGCTACCTGATTATTTTCCTGTCCAATTATGGTTTTACGTAATAAACTAAGAGAACAGCAAGACAGAAAACATAATAGAGAGTATATGTGCATTGCCTCTAAACTCTTCCAGCTTGCAGATTCTAGAAACAAATTTATTGACCAAATTTGCTTTACCAAGGAAAGTTGTCCATTCAAGATAGGCATGCAAGCTGAAGCAAAGCAATCTGTTTCCTCTTTACATAAAAATCCTTGTCATGTAAGAGTCACATTAGTAACGCAGATTTGTACAACAATGTTGCCAGCATTTTTTCTTTTATCATGCAATTGAGAAGAATGTGACGTGTTTATTATTTTGGGGCATAATTCAAAGAAATTGTTTTCTGCTGAATTAAAATATGTTACTTGTTAAAAGTATCTGGCGACAGCTGAAAAAGTTCTAAATTCTTTGAACTATTAATAGTTAATCTAGAAACATAGCAAAATCACCTTTTAATTTTCAGTTTATATTCAGATTCCAACAGCTAAATGATTTTTTAATGATATATGGTAAACTTAATCACAGGTGTTTCCCAACAAAAATAATGTTGTCTTGTTTCTTTGATATGAAATTTAAACATATGTGTGAAATATGGAGACAATTTTCCTTCTTAACAGTCACTAAGGCATAACCTGATTAAAAGAAGAGAATTTGCCTGAAATATTGAAATAATTTATTCATTTGTTAATTGACTATTCAACAACTCAGTCTTTTCCAGTCACATTTATTGTATTTTGTATAAGTTTGCTTGATTCTTGGAATATTTTGCATTATTTATGAAAACAAAACAAAACAAAAAAACAGCTAGTTAATTGTTTTGATGTACATATAAGCACTTGCAATTGGGTACTAATTAACCATTCCCCATCTCACGTTCCTTGTTTGCTCTAGTTTGTCATTTACCTTTGGAATAAGGAATAAGAAGTCAGTTTGCTTGGATCTCACTGAGCACTTTAATCATTGAATCGGGAGGTTTTCAAAATTCTCTAGAGTATGGGAAATATGTTCATTAAGAGAGCTAAGTGCTTTGTGAGTGCATTATAGGTTAAATTAAGGAAATTGCCTGCCCCACTAATAAAACATTTAGTGGTGTAATTCTCCTGTTTTAGTATCTTTACCTCTGCAACATACTCATTGATGCAATTATTAATTTTGAAATATGTTTTGTTCTGACTTACTATACTGCAAAACTAACACAATTTGATTTCACTGTTAGGCCAATATTGGAATATATGTAATGTAATGAAGAATT